ATAGGCTCGACAAAAGTTACAGTGGCATAACCATTACGGCTGAAAATTAATTGGATTTTTTCCTGGCTTTGTGATGATCACGAAGTCGTCCAACTATTTATGCAAGTCATATAGTCTACCTACAATTATTTATGCAACTAAAACTTGAGCACTTTCCACACGGATTTGTATATTGTTGAATTCTAAAAGCCAACCATCTGGTCCAGTTTGTCTTTCAGTTGAAAATTTCCAAACTGGCGTCTTCCTTTCTTTAATCATCTACCCTACAGCCAATTATATACGTTTCCTATTTTTATTTTTCAATTTTTGATGTTCACTTTTACAACATTTAATATGTTTGGTTGCAGTTATATATAAGTTGCTAGGTAGATTAATGGTTCTGAGAACTAGTCAAACATTACCAAAATCTTACCTGTCTACCATATTAATTTCCTTCACATACACTCCCTTCATCTTTGATTTCATTGTCATCACTTCCAAAATGGAGATTTTGAGTATAGGGTCCTTTCAACTTCTCTTTGCACTTATGATTCTACTGCATATGCAAACTTCCATTGGATTCAATTCAACAACTGCTGATAATGAAGTTAGATGCATAAAGAGCGAAAGACAGGCGCTTCTCACATTTAAGCAAGGTCTGGTTGACAAATATGGCTGGCTTTCTTCCTGGGGCAATGAAGAAGAGAAAAAAGAGTGCTGCAAATGGGAAGGAGTTCAATGTAGCAACACAACTGGGCATGTCACTGTGCTTAATATTCCAACGGATCATTCTGAGATAACAGGTAACTTTGGTGCTTCCCTATTTGAGTTGCAACATTTAATATCTTTAGGCCTCAGCTCCATAGATTTCAACTTAAGCCACATTCCTGAGTCTATTGGTTTACTCAACAAAATACAACATCTTGATCTCTATTCTTGTAACTTGAGTGGACCTCTTCCAAGTCAGCTAGCAAACCTCACAAGTCTACAATTTCTTGATCTTGGCTCTAATAACTTTAACAGTGTCGAAAATCTTGAGTGGCTCACTAGTCTTTCTTACCTAAAATACCTTGGTTTGAGTAGAATTAACCAAGTTACCAATTGCTTGCTACAAGTAATGAATAAGCTCCCTCATCTAATCGAATTGCATCTAGATAGATGTAATCTTCAAGATGTGGTTCCTCAGTGTGTCCCTATGATTAATACTTCAACTTCCCTGGCTGTCCTTCATCTAGAAAGCAACAATTTGAGTGATTCCACATTCCAATGGTTGTTTGAATTCAACCAAAGCCTTGTTGATCTCTCCTTGTCTAATAATCAGTTTCAAGGTTTGATTCCTGAAAATCTTGGTCACATGACTTATCTTGAAAGCCTAACTCTCTCTCACAGCCAATTTGGAAAAGGGATTCCAAAATCCTTCGGGAACTTGTGCAAATTAAGGTACCTAGGCATATATGGTAACAATCTTGACGGAATGCTTCCTGAACTTATTGGTAACTTAACTGGGTGTCTACAACTCTCCTTGGAATCTTTGAATTTGGGTGGAAATAAAATTAAAGGACCCTTGCCTGATATGATAGAAAACTTCTCTTCATTGCGAGAATTGTATCTTTACAACAATCAACTAAGTGGCACTGTATCCAAAAGTATTGGACTCTTGTCAGAGCTTGAGCAGTTACATATTTCTTCCAATTCTTTGAATGGGACGATCACTGAATCACACTTCTCAACACTATCTAAGTTACAGAGCTTGGACATGTCTTTTAATCCTCTAAGCTTCAACTTTAGTCGTGACTGGATTCCTCCATTCCAGTTGTATTTTATAGGACTTCGGTCTTGCAAGCTAGGCCCAAAGTTTCCCAACTGGTTGAAGACTCAAAAAGACTTTTCTTCTCTTGATATATCTGGAAATCAGATTTCAGACAGCATCCCAAAGTGGTTTTGGAACGTATCTTCTACAGCAGATGAACTAAATCTTTCTTCCAATCAGATCTATGGAATTGTGCCAGACTTGTCTACAAATTTTGCTAATTCTTTGGGTCTCAGGATAGATTTGAGTAAAAATAAGTTACAAGGATCATTACCAGTATTCCCTGCTGATGTCTCATCCATAAACCTATCAAAAAATAGGTTTTTTGGGTCAATTTCTTATCTTTGTACTGTAACCCGTAGGAAACTTCAGTTACTTGATGTTTCTTACAATCAACTATCTGGAAAGCTTCCTGGTTGCATGACAGGGTGGACAAATTTAAGGATTTTGAATTTGGCTAATAATCATTTATTTGGGAAAATTCCAAGCTCTATTGGATCTTTGTCTTACCTTGAATCATTAGGTCTGCAAAACAACAATTTCTCTGGAGAAATACCTTGGTCTTTGGGAAATTGCAGTGCTTTGCAATTTTTGGACTTGAGTTATAATAGATTCTCCGGAATAATACCAGCTTGGGTTGGAGAAAGGCTAAGTTCACTAATTTTCCTTCTTCTAAGATCCAACAATTTCAGTGGAGACATCCCCTTGCAGCTATGCCGGTTGACAAATATTATGCTGCTAGACCTCTCCAACAACCATCTATCTGGAAGCATACCATGGTGCATCCAGAATCTGACTGCTTTAGCTCAAAAGAAGAGTTCAGACTATAATTTATTTTTGATTTATGGCGCTATAGCAAGCTATGTTGACAAAGCAGCTATCATGTGGAAGGGGATGGTGTATGATTATGAATATCTCAAGGATCTTAGAATCATTGATCTTTCAAGCAATAAATTAACTGGAGAAATTCCAGTCCAAATATCGAGTCTCTTCCAGCTGGTGCAATTGAACTTATCAAGAAATCAGTTGACAGGAAAGATGCCTCCAGATATTGGGCAGTTGAGACAGCTAGAATCACTTGACTTGTCATCTAACCAGCTTTCAGGTCATGTTCCTGGGAGCATGTCCCAATTAAATTTCCTCAGCACTTTGAATCTGTCACACAACAACTTTTCAGGAAGAATCCCATTATCAACCCAAATGCAGTCATTTAATGCTTCTGCATTTGTTGGTAATGCTGCCCTCTGTGGGCTTCCTCTGACACCAACTTGCCCGGGAGATGAAAAAGCAAAGAGCAAACCAACAGACAGTGGTGGCAAAGATAATCAAGAAGACAGAGCTGAATTCTGGAAATCATTTAAATTGAGTATGGAACTTGGAGTGGCCATCAGCTTTGTGGGAGTTCTAGCTGTAAAGTTAGATCATCCATTGAAACATCTCTGTTTCCTGTTGTTCAACAATGTGAGGGTCCACCTCAGCACCTTAAAGGATTGCCTTTATGTACTTGTAGCAGTGTTTGGTTTGGTGGTGAGAGAGCATGTATCCAGACTGGCAAAAAAGTTGAAGTTGTTTGAGCCATCAGTCTCTTCCTAGAGACTGGAAAAAAGGTCGGTACACATTTTTCCTAATCTTGTTTAACATATTTATTACTAAATTATTTAAAGAAAAGAATACGAGAGCAAATAACCTCTTATTGTTGTTTTTCAGGTTCCAGATGTTTCATGTTGCATGGATATCTTCTCTTCTTTCCACATCAGTAAGTCAAAGCTAAGCAGGGCATTATTTCTTCCTTTATTTTTGATTGTGTTTGGTTGAAAGGTCTGTTTAAATTAAATGATTTGTGCTTTTCTTTTCTATCACCTATTTTGTAATAATTTGCTGGAAACTAATACTGTAATCAACAAGATGCCAATCCTTATCCATTGTAATCAACAAGATTTATCAGAAATCATTCTTCAAATAATAATAATAATAATAATAAAACCATTTCCCCCGAAATTCTGTTCAAAAATTTTCTGCAATTTAAGATTTGCATGATTTTGACATAAAGCTAACCTCAATCGGTTCTTTATCTGCGATTCGAGGTTCCTCAACGAGCTCACTGGATTGCTGAAGTCAAACAGGAAGCCAGGCTAATTCCTGTATTGTCATCGTTACATTTAGCAAAATCGCCAAAAATTAATAGATAAAATCAAATCGCATTCTCATGTCTTCAATCCTTTCTCTTTTGTAAACTTAGATCCAAAAAAAAAAAAAGATTCTCGCCGTCCTCTGATAAATCTGAAGAAGAAAAGGAAAAAAAGAGAAAGAGAAAGAGA